AACTATGACAGTATACTACATTATAAGAGTCTAAATTTAGGCTACTTGTAAATATAATTGTAGTTTTTAAATAAAGTGTGTAATCAATTTCTTAAGTTCAAAACTTTATTTTTGAAATAGTTTTAACTTTATTGTCAGTACAATTAGCAAGGCAGCACAGGGATTTGAACCCTGTCCCATACATGGGAGTACCAAATACCATTGCCTTTTGCTTTTTTTGTTAAATTGACAAGGTAAAGCAAAACTTGCATTAAGAACAGCATGGAAAAAAAATCATCAAGTGAAAAATTTTAGTTGTTCAAAACTACAATTATCATTAGATCAAATTTTNTCCTTAAGAAAAAAAATAAAAAATAAAAATTCACAGGTATTAGTTTTTATTAAATTTTTTAGTTTTATTTTTTTCTGTGTTCCCATGTGAGTAGATTTAATTATATTCAAAATTCTACAGACAGGTACTACAAAAACAGCACATCTGCTGTCCCTCTGCCTGTTGACAAACATAAAGTAAGACGATGTGGAGTGTTCCACTGTCTATGGAGAAACATTTCTATAGACAGAGAGAAGGCAGATACATCCACGTCTCAGTGACAGGATGTTTCTGCCATCCCTCATACACATCCTCTGTGTGTATGTCCATAAACTGTCTTATAGACACACACAGAAGGATGCAAAATGCATCCTCTGTGTGTGTCTATAGACAGTATATGGACAGACACACAGAGGATGCATTTTGCATCCTTCTGTCTATAGACAAGGCAAATTTAGGAAGATGGCAATATCCCACTGTATCTGCTATCCATTTATCTATAGACAAAAGGATGGCAGATACAGTGAGACACACTACGTTAAGAGTCCATTGAGCTATATGTTGTACTTACCAAGGACAATAAGTCGTGGACTTGGTGGCAGGTTGTGTGTTCCTTCAACATCTGCAGCTGTAGCACACCTCTGTAAAAGCATCATCACAATATAAGATTACTTAATTCAAAAACACAACAGCTGAAACATCAGGTTTTTGTTTACTTACATCTGCATAAAGCAGGAGCCCATCCTGATCTTCTCGGAAATGTGCAAGGAGAAGCTTGGCGACTGTGATCCCAACCTCTTCATCAGCTGACAATATTTTTTTGACAAGTTCATTTGTTGGTTTGTTCCTGAAGAAGTCAATAAGTAGAGTGCCACAGTCTTCCATGGCACGGTTGAGTTGATTTTGTACATTGATACTAACTAGTAAGCTCCTCAAAATGTGCTGTGAGGTGCTTTTGCACAAACAAGTATGGCCACTTGTTCTTCATTTCTTTAATAGTAGCTGCCTGGGAATCATTTATATGTTTTCTTTGCAAATAATAGGTTTCTTTCATTAAAGCACAGACATCAGCTCTGTCTGCTCCACTCTTGCCGTGCTGCTGATATATATTTTGCAAAGTCTGTCTTTTGTGCTCAAGATCATCATCACTCTCTAAAAGCGGTGGTTCAGGCTGCCATTTGGTGCATCCATAAGTAGCTACTGGGCCTTTTCGCTTTGTGATCTCAGAATTTTCTGAAATGCCACTTGAACATCGTCTGCGTGTTGTCAGTGTGTTGTTTCTATTTACGTGTTCAACTCGTGTTTTAATTTGTTTCAATAGTGAGTAGCATCCAACTTCAGAAACTGATTCTGTGTTGTCATAATCTGCAAAACTCTTTGGATACTGTTTTACTATTTTAAGAGCAACAGTGAGGCATTGAGCTTTAGTTGGATTTTTTTCAATCTTCCTCATTTCGTCAACTAGAATTCTTACCATTTTTCTACGAACTGGTGGGAGTGGTCTTTTTTCATTTGCTAGTGCTGTTCGCACATCATTTGGCATTTGTTCCCAGGGGATCTGAAATGTCTCTGCCCAAGAAGTTAAAGTTGCTGATGAAAAGGTTGGTGGATTCACAGTGTTCAAACTATTGGAAGACGAAGTTGGACTTCTCGGATTATCACCACACGCATTTTTTTCCCCAGCTGAAAGAGAAATTACTATTTAGTACTTCATGTATTTTGTTTCTTGTATAGCAAAGAACATTTTCTACACACTCACTACAGTATTACTAAAAATGTATGAACAGCTTCAACCTTAATGAACCAGTTCCTTTTGACAAAATGTATAGTTATTAACCTGTGTTAAAGCTGTCAAGCAGTTTGCGAATCTGGATGGGAGGAAGAACATCAGACAGGTCTGCTCCAGGGGCTCCTTCTACATATTTTAGATCATCAATAGTTTCTACACCCCAGCTAACAAGCCTCTCCACCAGCTTCTCCAACTTTGCTTGAGAGATTCCAGGAAGGGCTTTAGTTATAGTCCTTTGGATTTCCTCCTCAAAAGTTGCAGACATTATTCTAGAGAAGGAAAAGAGTGGTGAAGAGCAAGCACTGACAAACCACACAGTTTATACATGGGTAACGGGTAGTAATCCAAAAGTTGTTCCTGACTAACACAACACAGCCTTTTAGGCAGTTTTTCAGTAAGGCAGTAGAGGCCTTGATCACTGAGAGTTACAGAGCTAAAGCATTCTGTTAAGAAGTACACAGAGTTTTCTTTAAGTAGAATAGCTTTGATTTTTCCAAAGACAATGCCTTCCTCACATTGATCTAACACAAGAAACATATTTTTCTTGTATGTTGTCCCTTTCACTTTTGCCTCATGTGATATGAGAGTGTTTGCCTGGCAGTTTAGATTGGTAAGAGCATTTCTGATGTCATCATTGTAATCAGCCAGATCAAAATCAGTTCCCTTTTCAATAACTACAGGAGGTGGGAACAGATTGCCAGCACTCAAGTAAGCTTGAAGGAGCTGATGCCTTTCAGCTAGAGTGGAGCCCAAGTTCTTAAAGTTGTGCAATTTTCTTGCACACTGTTTGAAATATGTGTGTTTGCTTTCAAATCTAAGGGTCCACAAACGAATGAGTGGCCCAAACTTCAATGTCAGCTCTGGATAATGAAGGACATAGTGGTGCTTTGGCCTCAGAGGATGGTCAGGAAACAGTTTTTTTCTATAATACAAGTAGTCCTCAATCATTACTTTTAGGTAGGCAATCTGACCAGAGGAAATAGCTGGTGCACAAATGAACTCCACCATGTTTCGTAGCTGTAGAACAAGCTGCCACACCTCATTCTCATTTGAGTTTTTTACTTTGTCTCCAATTAGTACTGGCAGCAATCTGAGAAAACACCAGTTTTGAACTGCATGTCCTGCAAGTTTTTCACTGCTGGGATTGACTTCGAGTGGTTTATCATTTGCATCATTTCCAAGGTACCTGAATTGATCAATTCTTCTATTCAGGTCCACATATGTAAAATGTTTGTCAACCTTTACAAGATGTTTGATGTATAGGGCCAAATCATAAGAAACAATGCCTTCAAAAAGATCATGAGCAATGCATGGTGGCAGGCCAGGATTGCAAACATGGAAGTTTGATAACTCATTGAACAGCGAGTCAAACTTGACACCTTTTTTCTGATCAAGGTCTTCAGCCAGGACATTATTGTTATACGACTGCACAGTCCTAACAGGTCCAGTCGAAAGTGGGTCAGTTGCAAACACTTTTTTTCCAATTTCACAGAATCTACAAAAGAAACTGCTGGTGCTGAAATTTTCAGCAAACCCACCAACACAGTGAGAGCCAAGATTATCCCCTACAATGACACAAAGGCTGGCCCTTCGAATCTCACCATTTGGCAGTTCAGTACCGCTCACTTCAAGGTCTTTCAGATCCTTCACCAGTGTTCCCAGCACCAGGTCTTGTCCAAAGTAACGAAAATCCTGGTCTCTGCAAAGAAGAACAAGTTGCATATGATCTGTAGTTGATCGGTTGTGAGGCAAAATGTCTCCTAAAGTGAGGTAGACTGCGAGGAGTTTATGTTTTTTCTTGCCTGATCCCAAAGGATTAACTACCTCAAACGAGTCCTGATACAGAATCAAGCCAACAGACAATGGATCAGTCTTAAGCAAAGCATTTTGGGAGATTATTTTGCCATCCCAAATATCTTTTAATATATCTTTTTCATGAACATCCAAATGGGTGGATCTGTGCTGTTCTCTAATGGACTCGTTCTGCAAAAGACCAGCAATTGTTTGTTTGATTGGAATGTACTGAGCAAAACATTCCTTTCCTGCTTCATTGTTCCCCAAACAAATTGGGTGTGGTTCTATGTAGTTGAAGCTTTCTTTAAAGACAGTTTTTCGCTTATGGTCTGTTTTTAGTTTGTGAGTATTGCAACTCTGGAAAAGATCATTATCTTTTACTTCATCTATCACTTTTTTTACATCTCTCTCAGGTACTCCAAGTAATATTAGTTTTTCATGTAACTTATTCATTTGATTTAACTGGCTCATGTCATGTATTTCTTGGAATCCTTCAATGACAGTTTGAATTACAGATGAAGGAAGCAACATTTTTGCCTGCAGTTTTAAATAAAAAAGTGCCAGATTTTGCAGAAACAAGTCCTCATCTGTATTTTCAGCATCAACATCCAAAAGCTCTATCATGGCATCATTTGAAGGTTTATCATTACATCTGTCAACTGAATGACACACCACATTACTAACAGATGAGGTCTCCTGACTATGACCTTCAGTGTCATTACTTTTCTGGACTATGTTTTCAAGCAGATTCTGCTCGGTCCTTCCTTTGTGGCATCTTGATAAATGTGATGTGAATGTAGACAAAATAGTAAAGGTTCGTTTGCACTGTTTAAATGGACATGTTACACCTGTACCTTCCTTCACATGTGTTTTTAAATGTGAAAGGAAACTGATTAAGTCATCACAATGCACAGCACAGTATTCAACATGACAGGTTAAATCATTGGTGTAGACTGGAGCCATAGTGGCAGGTTGCTGCTTGTGATATCTGTATGAATGTGATTTGAAAGCGTTGAAGTTTTTGAACGCCATATTGCAAGTTGTCATTCCACATTTAAAACTGACATTTGGCAAATTCCTGTGCAATTTCATGTGCTTCACATATGTAAAAAGAGCTTCAGTTTTATGTCGGCAAAACTGACAGAGTATCATCTTGATCCTTAATTTACACAAGTTAAGAATCTTAACTTAAGATGCACAATCTATGAGTTCAGTGTGGGGCGGGGGGAGGGGATTTTCTACAACCACTATTGCCTACAAACCATACACAGGAATAGCGCAGTATTATTTGAAATATTTGTGATTGCTTGCTCAACTGTTAAGCAGCCAGTAAATTGTAAACAAAAATAAATAAATTAATATTTCATAAAAATAAAAAAAAGCTGAGACCCCCTGCCCTAAAGGCGTGTTGAACAAGAAGGTGCAAATTTGTTGCTTTTACACAGCTAAATAAGAGTTGCTCTCTTAAAAAAAATCTGCAGATTGTACTATAGGCCTAATAAGGCAGAACTGGCATCTTTTTGGTATCTGTGATAGACTTGCGACCTGTCCAGGGTGTATCCCGCTCCTCACAGTGACCCTGGAAGGAAGAAAAGGGTATAAATAATGGATGGATGGTATCTTTTTGTTGAACTATTTTAACTCCAATAACTTAACAATAACTAATTACTAAATTTAAAACATGACAAGAAAGATAAACTATAATAA